ATTTGGGATTTGGGATTTGGGATTTTGGCATTTGGGATTTCGGCATTTGAATTTTGAATTTGGGTGGCAGGTATAGCCATAACAACTATGCTTGGAAGGGCGGTATTCCCGAAATGCCACAAGTATCTTCAGTTTGTGATATAGATATAGAATGTGAAAGAGCACTTGCTTCCGCATGTATCAAAACTAAAGAAGGAAAGGTTAACATCGACGATAAAAAAATTGCGGAAGCACTTATATCATTTGTTGCCAGAGAACTCCCGAAAGCTACAAGAGTATGGATTATAGGTAAAGATATTTTAACACATGAAGGCATTCTCTATCGTAGCTCTCATGAATGTGAAAAATTAATTAAGGCTTTCGAATATGAAAAATCACAATTCATACCTGAAGAACTTTTAAAATGGGGGGCGATAGATATTCGTGGATGGATGGAGGGAGGATATTATCCTTCTACAGCACCAATTCCTTCACAAGAGCTTAAAACAGAATATAATGAGCTTGAAAAATTCTTGGGAGGTGCACAATCTTATCGATTTCGTTGCTGGCGAGAAAGAGAAAGTATCGATCCCACACCTAGGAATGTTGTTGAAATTTGACAACAATCTCAAGTAGAATCAATGGTATGGAACGCTCCAATAGACCCAGTTCCAAAACACATCCATATAGATCTTCGTGGAGCATATCTTGGCTGTGAAGACTCAGAACAAAGTGCATCTGAAGCTTTGCCCTAGGTTCGACGATATGGATTTCCAGAACGAATACAGCGACATGCCTGTGTTGAAAATATTGAAGCTGTCCGTTGCTTGACTGGCGTTGTTCAGCTAGTAGCATGGGAATTTGCCAAAAATCTCCATCCATTCACAGCGGGACTTATTGGGTAACATCTCACAGAAAAGGAAGGCTGAATTCTGACACCTCTTATAGATTACCTGCTCAGTGCTGGATGGCTCATAAGTGCAACTCCAAGAGAAATCATATATAGTGTTGGCAAAAAATCTCACATTGAATTTCCACCTTCTCGTGATTTAGCAGTTCGTTTTGTGGGATCATGTGTTCGTAATGCACAAGTTACATCTGTTTTAATTCGAGACAAAAATGAGGCAGATATGATTCATCAATGGTTAGCAAGAAAAAAGTGCCGACCAAACCGAATCAGTAATGAGCATGGAACCCTAATAAAGTATAAGGGGGATAAAAAACGTGCTCAATGGTTGCATATCCGCTTGCCTATACTCATATTGCTGTACTCGAACAGCTGAAACACTTCCCGATTGAAAATGTATTATGAGTATGTACTGATGCAATTTACACAACAGCAATTCCTGAAACTATTTTAGATGAGAGTAAACTTGAGATCGATTTTGATAAAGAGCTTTTTGCTAATGCAAAAAATGATATAGAGTTAGAAGAGGTTCATAAAAGATATGATGCGGAAGTAGATAAAATAAAAAAGTAATATGAATCTGTAATCGTTTCAGACACTTCAGAAATTAAATATGGTCAATGGCGTAAGAAAAAGCCAGGATATATCTATCGTAAAGAAGCATCGTCCTGGACTATTAATTATAAGAGTTCATTAGATTTTCCACCAAGCGAAGCACCACCTCTTTCTACTGATCCAAAATTAATTACATTGCGAAAACCCTACTTAGTGGACCAGGGAGGAAGTGGAAAAACAACACGAGCTATTCGTGCATTTTCCAATCGAAAAATTGTGGTTCTCACTCCGGCAAACTTGCTTGCTGAGTACCATAGAAAGCAAAATCCAGGCTTAACGGCCATGACATATCATAAGTATTTCCATTTGGGAGCAACCCCAATCGATGAGTGGGATCCTGCATGTCTCGAAAAAAAGACGCTTGCCGAAATACTAATCTTCGATGAAGCATGCATGATACCTAGAAAAGTATTACAGAGGTTGTTATCTTATGCTGAAAGCCGAGGTTGTCAAATAATTATGTGTGGCGACCCAGGCCAACTTACACCATGGGGTGACAAAGAAGGCCCACATAAATTTCTTACAGAATGGGCTGACAAAGTAATCTGGTGTATGGAAGACTATCGTGTACAAGACGACGAACTCAAGGCATTAAAATTATGTATGTGGATGGAAAATGATATTGCTTAATTACTAGAATTTCATAAGGCTATACCTAAAACATCATGGGAAAATGCTCTTGCCCAGTGGACTCCAAATGACATCTGGATTTGTTCTACAAATGGTATGGGTATGCGAGTTGAAAGTGCATTATTACAAGCACATGCATCGCACTTTTTCAATAAGCCTTCAGTTATTCGTTTCGATCCAGATGATAGTATCAAACATAAGTATCGTATTCAAGGAAAGCCTGTACAAATTCCAGGTAGCATTGAAATTATAGAAGCATATGTTGGTACTATAGTAAACGTGCCACTTGAAATTGTATTGCGCGGACTTCCTGCTGAATGGAAATATGCTGGCTGGGAAATGGTTCATCGAATTCAAGGACAAACAATTGAGGCACCAGAATGTTGCTTTATTGTAGACCATAGTTTGAGAGGTTGGATCAATAATGCTGTATATACAGCTTGCAGTCATGTACGATATATGAATCAATTAATCCGAGTTGCACCCCCAAATGATATACTCGAATATATTGAGCTGACTGAACTTCAAGTAACTTCTTGCCCACAAATCATTGAAGCAAAATTAAGACGTTACAAGTTAGATGACCGCAAAAAGAACCGTCATTTTTCAAGGCCACTTATGATAGTCGAGGACTGGGAGATAGATAATAAATCAGATTTAATGGAAGATTCTACAGTATGTGAGAAGTCCCTCTTTCTAGCAGAAAATGATGAGGAAAATGCTATTCCTTCACTCACAGTAAAGGATGTTATAGAAATTACAACTTGGCAAGATAAATGTTGTAAAGTATGTCGTGTTCCACTTCTATTCCAAGGCTATTCCAATCACCATCCACAGTCATTTTCAGTTGATCGACTTGATGATGCTGAAGGACATTATCGCCAAAATGTGAGAATTACTTGTCTTCGTTGTAATGAACGACATCGACATTAGAGATAGCTGAAAAAAGAGCAATGATGCTCAAGCTTAAACCACAATACCAGTAATCGGATGAACCTAGTTATTTCACCAAGTGAGTCAGACTTCGTGAAACTAGATTAATTACTAAGATTTTTTTCATGGGTAATAAATATTCAATATATATTTTTTAGGCGTTAATAAAGTACATTGAATATTAGCAAAGCTTTTAGTAAAGCTAAAGACAATCGGGAGTATTATTTATTTTATTATTAATATCAATTAACAAGTATATATACTCATCTATAAGATCACTTATATTTTTTGCCCATACTAACTCTGCATTAGACAGAATGGAATAATTATAAACCAACGATATTGAATGTAAATCTTTATTAGTCTGAGAATAAATATCTTTAAGACGAGATTTTAGAAATTTTCCTCTAAAATTTGATAGCATAATGTTAAAACAATTATATCGGATATTAAGATAGGATTTATAAAATTTTAGAATAGCTCGAAGTCCTTCTGAACACCAGGTATGATTGACTGCAAGGAGTTTGATTAAATCCTCCTCATTATCGGAAAGATGGCTAAATATATTTTCTAGAATTTCAGGTAATGATAATGCACGTTGAATACTTATAATCTATTGATAATTTTTTCAGATAAATATAACATGCATATATTCAATCCACTTATACTTCCGGATATTATCAGTGAAATCGTTCAAAAACTTCCATTAGAGAATCTAAGTAAATTTTGTTGGATTAATCGAACTTGGTATAAAGAAATTCAGCATGAACTCCAAAAAAGGTGGGAGATACAAGTGTTAAAAGGTCATAAATTAGAGCTTGAAAAAGATAAGAAAATAAAGAAAGCACTAAATCAATATTCAGATGATGAAGAACTTCAAGGATATATCGAATATGGTATAGAGCTTAAATATCACGCAAAGCTACTTGAGACCACTAAAAAACAGGTAGAGATTGAAAGGTGTATGTTTACCAATGGAATGTTTTATGGGCAAGAAAGGGAAATCGTTAAATATAATATACAACAGATTACAGATGAATTAATTCCTTGGGAGGATTATTATGAAGATTGGGATATTAATGAATTATTTGCGAAATTTAACAAAATTTATAACTACCTCAGCAATTCTGTTAATTGATACATTAAGTACTTTTGATAATTTTATCTTATCAATCTTTTTTTTTCCGAACTGGAAGATTACAATCCAATAAACGATGTGCTAATTCTATTAATTTCATTCCGAGATTTTTTATTTATCTACTGTAGGAAAAAGCTAGCCTTCGACTTAATGAGTCTCGAAGAAGCGATATTATAAGTTTTAAATTAAATCCTCATGTTTGAGATAGTAAATATGAGTTATAGCAGAGTACGAGATAAGTTAAGTGAATATGGTGCAAATTATATTGTTAACAATATTAGCAAAGCTAGCACGGCTAAAATGTCAGAAGCATGGTTACGGTTTGCAAAAAATTATTTGCCAAAATATATACGCAAGCGATTATTAAAGCTAGGATATGAAATAGATAATAGAGATTACTGGAAAAATTTTGTATTTCGTATCAAAAATAATTTAACCAGCCATAAGCAAATAGGTAATGACCCTAAATATTGGGATTTTAAAGTTCAACTAACATTGTATAAAAAAAATCGTGCATCATTAATTATCTAGCGGACATATCGTTTATGGAAAAAACAAATTAATTCAGCTAAAAAAATCCAGTGTGCAGTAATCCAGTGGCTTTATCGGCCTGATGGATCATTTATGAAGCAAGCTAAAGATCGATATTATCAATGGGCTGAACTGAATAGGTGATATAATGAGTCTCAAGAAAACGATGACATGTGTCTAATTTTTTGTTTAACAAATTTTATTTATCAAATGTAGGAAAAGCGAGTCGACCTAGCCATCTGCCATATATATTTTTTCAGTTGATTACCTGTGATATTAATTATCTAAACAGTATATATTATATAGAAATGACTAATTTACTTGATCTTCTTCTGCCAGAATTAATTTCTCCTATTATAAAGAATCTTCCAATTCAAGATCTTAAAAATTGCTATAATCTAGATGATATATGGAAAACTGAAGTGATTAGAGAAATCCGCAAAAGATTAATAGTGAACTGCATATTCATTCATAGAAAAACAACTGTTAAGACACTAATTGACCCTAAATCTCGGTACAGTAGTATCAGTAAAGCACTTGTCCGAAAAATGGATTGTTATATTTCTAGAAATTTTGGTAGGTCAGGATATCCAGCAGTAAAAGAACTTGGAATTGGTGCAATAAATTCAGGTAAAAAAGTAATGGTAAGAGGGTGGATACATAATGTAAAAACTTCCATTTCCATTCCAGATATCTTTGAATTAGAACCACAAAAATCTCCTTTACCTCAAAGCTTAAATGAATTATATGAGAATTTCTTAGTCCTTGATAAACCAGAATACGAATTAGTCTTAGGTGATATATAGATAAGGAAATTAATGGATAGAATCAGAAAACATATATATCCAGAACCATAAAATTTTAAGTATTATCGTACGTATCATTGTATGGAATATTATAAAATGTGTCATCAATGGTATAAAAAAGAGAAACATACTCTTTCTTTACAAAAATTTCATAAGCTATTATTTTCGGATTATACATTTAATTTTCAGGTTCCAACTGATCTGAGTGAATATTACAATTCAAGTTATTCTGAAACAGATACAGAGACCGGTTCCATTTCTTCAGATTCAGATAGTGAGTGGTCTGACTGATCGAATTATACTTATATCAAGTAAATAATTAATTATCAAAATATAATTCTATTTTTTTTATAATAATAGCGAAGCTAGTGTCAAGACATATCAAAACCTTCCAGATGGGCCTAGATGCTCCACTGGGTTCCACATTATACCTTCCAGATGGGGTCCTTTTTTTCTTGACTCTCAAAAAAAATCAAATAACTATACAATAACAAACATTATCGAAATTAAGATTTCAAAAATTTAAACTGGGCAAGAAAGTAATATCGATTTCTAGACATTAAAAAAAACGATTAAAGGCCAGATAGCTATATAATATATTTTTTATATAACGAAAATGTGGCCTAAAAAATAAAACAAATGTTATCGAAATTAAGATTTCGGAGACTCCAGCCAGGCAAGAAAGCAAAGTAGATTTCAAGACGTTAAAAGAGCCGATTAA